CAGGCGGTGGGTTAACCTCTTGAAAGACAAAAATGAAATGTCTCTCCAGCCTGTGAAGGGTAAGTGTCCTTCTCACTGTCTGGAAACAGACATATCAAAGCTAAAGTTATTGCCAGCTTCAAAAATAGATTCCCAAGTGTTTTATTCGTTGCCTCACACAGACAGTAAAAGACCTTTAGCATTCCAGGGGAAAAATAAGTATTTCCAAAACTGATGTTTGGGTTGCTAGAATGAATATGTCTGTTATCTTTATGTATTGTGTGTGCATGTGTGCATTTCATGCTATAGACGCCTCAGTGCTGACTGCTGCAGAAGGATGTGGCATTTGATGGTATCTTCTGGAGAGTGTGTGGGATTTTAAAGGTCTTTAGTAGTCTCTCAAGGCATATTTTAATAGGACTGGAAGCTACTGTGTTGGAACTAGTAGAATCATTTTGTCATTGGATTACAGAAAAATAGTTTCCTTTCTATAAAATTATTCTTTCCCTGATATTCCCCTGGGCACTCGGGGAAACCACACCAATATTGTTTTGTTCTGAGAGCAAGGGACAGATAATGAGGCCGATCCATATCCACTGCCCATGGTGCTGAAAATGCCCCACCAACTCCCCTGTCAAAGAGGAGAGAGACAGAGACAGAGAGAGCACTCCAAAGTATCCAGCTGGGCCAGGCAGCAGCCATGTGGCCAGTCCAGGGAGCCAACACCTTCATTGATGGGTCGAGCAGCGTCTGTATGTACTTCTGACTCTGATAATTCTGCTTGCATTTTTTGTCCTCTAATCTCATTAAGGAACAAACAAGCAGATGTATCCTTCTGGTGGAGTGGAATTTGCCCTTTCATTGATTGACTGGATCTCTCTGATCACTGTGATCGGTGGTCTCTCACTGATGGACCATACATTTTAGTGGGAGACAGACAAGGACACAGGAAGTCTGGACTCCATGTGATGAAGGCTCTGATGGGGGAGAGGCTGAAGGAAGAGCCTCTAGAGCTGCAGTCCAGTAAGGCTGGGGGAGCTGGATGAGGAACAGAGGCCCGGGGGCAGGGGTAGAGGCAGGAAGGATGGCGAGGCTACAGCAGGTGACAGGCTGAACACAGTAGGAAGCCTGGGGATATGGAGAGGGGTGATGGGATGGAGCTAGGGATGGGCATCTGCACAGACATGCTCAGATCAGGCTGGTGGCCTCTTTTTACACGTGCTTGCTGCTTTCTAGTGCTAAGCAGAGGACAGAAGCCCAGATGCTTCTGGAACGTTCATGTTCTGCCCTGAAGTCGTGGGTGACCAGTAGATTAGAAAGCCCATGTGTGACTCCTCTGCCACCTGTTATGCCTCAACATCTTAAGATAGGAAACTATGAATGTAAGATACTTTCTCCTGGGACTAAGGGGCCTCGTAGCCAGTCTAAGTGGTCTAAATCCTCCACAGAGCATTTGCTAAACTACTTAAAATGGCACCTTACACAACATCTATTTTCGAGGATCTTGTTTCCTCAGAATTTGCTGGTTGCACTGGAGTTTTCTCTTGGAGGAGAGAGTTGCCCAGACCTCTCACCCACTCCATGACATCCTCCAAGGTGAGGCTGTGGAAAGGACTTCACTCTTCTTTTCCCCTCCGCCTCTCAGCCAGCACTATTGTTGTTCTTCGTCTTCCTTCTTCTTCCTCCTTTTTCTTCCTTCTTCCTCTTCTTTCTCTTCTTCCTTCCTCTTCTTCTTCCTCCTCCTCCTTCCTCTTCCTCTTCCTCCTCCTTCTCCTTTCTTCTTTCTTCTTCTTCTTCTTCTTCTTCTTCTTCTTCTTCTTATTATTATTATTATTAGAGTTGGAGTCTCACTTGGTTAAATAGGCTCACTGCAGCCTCAACCTCCTGGGCTTAAGCGATCCTTCTGCCTCAGCCTCCCCAGTAGCTGGGACTACAGGCATGCACCATCACGCCTGGCTAATTTTTCAATGTTTTAATAGAGACAAGGTCTTACTGCGTTGCCTAGGCTGGTCTTGAACTCCTGGGTTTAAGCAATCCTCTCACTTTAGCCTCCCAAAGTGCTAAGATTACAGGTGTGACCCATCATGCCTAGCCTACTGTTTTTCAGAGACAAGGTATGGCCGGACTCAGTGGCTCAGCCTGTAATCCCAGTACTTTGGGAGACCAGGGCAAGTGGATTGCCTGAGCCCGTGGGTTCAAGACCCGCCTGGGCAACTTGGCGAGACCTCATCTCTACAATAAATCAAAAATCAGCCTGGCATGGAGTCACGCGCCTGTAGTTCCAGTTACTTGGAAGGCTGAGGCGGAAGGACTGCCGGAGCCCAGCAGGTGGAGACTGCGGTGGCCAGGAGCATGCCACTGCACTCCAATCTGGGTGACAGAGTGAGACTCCAACTCAAAAAAAAAAAAAAAAGAGAGAGAAGGTATTACTACTCTGCTGCCAAGGTTGGAGTACAGGGTTGCAATCATAGCTCACTGCAGCCTCAAACTCTGAGGCTCAATCAATCCTCCCACTTCAGCATCCCAAATAGCTGGGACTACAGGCATGCCACTATGCCCAGCTAATTTTTTTTTTTTTAATTTTAGTAGTGACGAGGTGTTACTATGTTGCCCAACCTAGTCTTGAACACCCAGACTGAAGCAATCCTCCTGCCTCAGCCTCCCAAAGTACTGGGATTACAGGCACAAGCCACACCTGGTATGTTTCCCTTTAGAATTATTTTTAATTCAGCTTTACTTTTCAAAACATTCAGAGTCTGATCACATCCTAGAATGAAAGTTTACAAGGCTGGTCTTTTCTGATTTAGTGCTTTGCTCCCATCCCTAAGTAAGTCTATAAATTAAATCATCAAGCACATTTGCAAAGCCTGGTGATGTCTTGTTATGAAGCAATTTAGAATCTTGTGATTGTGCATTTTGTTGTGTCTATCTTGGGAAGGGAATGCTCCTTTCTGGCATTCTCTAGTCACTTAGTGGAAACTCCCTCTCAGTTGCTCGTTCTCCAGCCACCCTAGCCTAGCATGTTCTCTGCAGACCTGGTAGTCACTGGGGGCCAGAAGTGAATATAGGAGATGGTTTCTCATAGAGGCAGAACATTGGCTTTTGGAACATGGGGACAAATAGTTTTATGTTTTAAAAATATTTATTGTAGGCCGGGTACAGTGGCTCAGCCTGTAATCCCAGCACTTTGGGAGGCCAAGGCAAGAGGATTGCCTGAGCCTGGGGTATTCGAGACCAGCCTGGGCAAGTTGATGAGACATTATTTACAATAAATCACAAAAATTAGCCAGGTATGGTGGAGTGTGTCTGTAGTTCCAGTTACTTGGAAAGCTAAGGCAGAAGGATCACCTAAACCCAGTAAATCAAGGCTGCGGTGGCCATGAACATGCCACTGGACTCCAGCCTGGGCAATAGAATGAGACTCCAGCTCAAAAAAATATATATATATATTTATTGTAGGCTGGGCACAATGGCTCAAGCCTGTAATCCCAGCACTGTGGGAGGCCAAGGCGAGAGGATTGCTTGAGCCCAGGGGTTTGAGACCAGTCTGGGCAACTTGGCGAGACCTCATTTCTACAATAAACCAAAAAATTAGCCAGACATGGTGGCTTGTACCTGCAGTTCCAGCTACTGGAAGGCTGAGGTGGAAGGATCGCCTGAGCCCAGCAGGTCAAGGTTCTGGTGGTTGTGAGCTTACCACTGCACTCCAGCCTGAGAGACAGAGTTAGACTCCACCTCAAAAAATATATTTATATATTTAATATATTTATAAGAAATGCTAGCCAGGCTCAGTGGCTCAGTCTCTAATCCCACACTTTGGGAGGCTGAGGTGAGTGGATTGCCTGAGCCCACGAGTTCAAGATCCGCCTGGGCAACTTGGCAAGACCTCATCTCTACAATAAATCAAAAAAAAATTAGCTGGGCATGGTAGTGCGTGCCTGTAATTTCAGTTACTTGGAAGGCTGAGGCGGAAGGATCGCCGGATCCCAGCAGGTCGAGGCTGCGGTGGCCGGAAGCGTGCCATTGCACTCCAGTCAGAGCAGGGTGACAGAGTGAGACTCCAACTCAAAAAAAAGAAAGAAAGAAAGAAAGAAATGCGTAGTCATTTAAAAAGAGGAGAAGCCGGACTCGGTGGCTCAGCCTGTAATCCCGCGCCTTTGGGAGGCTGAGGTGAATGGATTGCCTGAGCCCGTGGGTTCGAGACCCGCCTGGGCAGCAAGACCTCATCTCTACAATAAATCAAAAAATCAGCCAGATGTGGTAGTGTATGCCTGTAATTCCGGCTACTTGGAAGGCTGAGGCGGAAGGATGGCCGGACCCCAGCAGGTCAAGGCTGCGGTGGCCGGGAGCGGCCACTGCACTCCAGTCTGGGCGACAGAGACTCCAACTCAAAAAATAAAAATTAAAAAAAAGGAGGAGAAAGATTGAAAAAGGTTAAAAACCTACTCATGTCTACACCCCAGAGATCACCATGATGACAACAGGGCATTCCTCACAGCCCTTGCTGTTCACACGCACATGCAGCTTTACACATGCATGCGGCTTCACACACATGCACACACAGCTCAGTGCACATTACCCATCCCATTTTATACACCTGTTATGTTTACTTTCCTTTCGTGGTGTGATCTTTGGGGTAAACGATCTGCATGTGTCCAGTCCTGCTGTCTTCACCCCGGTTCCTTTGGAAGCAGAACTGAGTGAAGCTTTCATGCAGGGAGAACAGAGGAGGAAGGGATAAGGACCAGCCAAGACACCCTCACTGGCCACAGCACCACTGCAAATCTCCTGTTCAAGACCACACGTGGGCACCACTGTGGCATGTGGAGACCCTAGGCTAGGCCGATGGCAGCCAGTGGACACCTGGACCCTGCAGAGGCCAAGGCAGTGATGAGAAGAGAGGCTGGAACTGAGGGCTCTGCATGGGTGGGTGGTGGTAGGGGGGTGTGAATCTGGGGCACACACAGACGGAGTTCCCCCACCTGCCTGTAAACTGAATGCAAGCTTTTCCCATCCTTCAGTGTGCTCAGTGGCTGGCCCCATGTCTAAGCCATCTCTCCCTTCTGCAGGGATCGACTACAAGACCACCACCATCCTGCTGGACGGCCGGCGGGTCAAGTTGCAGCTCTGGTGAGTCTGGGCCACTCTGGGCTCCCGAGAACTCACTGGCAAAAGCACAGCAACCTGGCCTCCCCTGACGGGGCCTGAGCCCAAGCCCCTCAGCCCAGCTGCAGCCGGGCTTCCCAGAAGCATTGCTGGCCTACTTGTCTGGGCCCCATCATTCAAGGCAAGGGCCCCAGGACAGCCTCAGCTCTGTGGTGGGAACAGGCTCTATGAAGTCAGATGTGGGACCTGGGGTGCAGGGAGATGGCCCCCAGCACCAGCAGGAGACCAGCACTGTGATCGAGACAGCCCAGGGCCCCAGGAACCCACACATGCCCAGTGTTGCAGCTGAGTACCCTGCAGGGAATCCGGAGACCCCTGGTATCAGGGGACCTATTGTATGACCTGCAGGCGGAAGAGCAGACAGAGGGTCAGGACGTGCTGCCATCGTGGGTGACTGGCTCTGCTCGCATCCTGAGAACCCTGGAAGCCCAGCTCAGGGCCTTTCTCCTCCCAGGTTCCAGCTTGGGTTCTGGTTACCTCTCTTCTGCCCTCCAGCTCAGGGGTTGGGGCGAGGGGCTTCCTGACCTCACTCATCCCAGGTTGCCTCCTGCCTAAGTTCTTCCCACCCTCTCCAGGCTCCCCCATCAACCATGCAGGCCACTCCCCAGCCTCCCTCCTCCAGTTGCTCAGGTCCCAACCCCCCACCCCCACTCCAGGAGCTGTCAGTCTGAGGCTGGCCAAGGGAGCCTCCCTCCAGTGTCTCCCAGACTTCCTGTCCCTTCCCACTGCCTCTCCTCACCCCACCTTGGGACATCTGGGGTTGTGTCTGGTCTCAAGTTCCAGCTCTCCACGGGGGCATGACCACTCTGAGGTGGTATTACTGTTGGCCACCAGGGTCACTGTCAGCCCCTGTCCTGCCTCCCTCCCTCCCTTCCCCCAACTCTGAGCTGACAGACTTATTCTCAAGTCTCTCCTCCCTCCCCTAGACCACCAGTCCTGTAGTTGTGGTGTAAGTCCTAAGTGTCCATGTGACATCTGAAATGGCGCTCACCCATCTCCCAGTTCTGCTTCTGGTCCAGGATACCCAACTAGCAAACACCCCCATGACTCAGGTGCCCAGCCAGCCCAGTCATCCTTGACACTTTTCTCTCTCACCTCCACTGCCCCTGCTCTGTCCTCAGGGTTTCTGCAAGCTCAGAATCCCCCAAGCCCCCTCAGGCCCTCAAGGCACCACCTACATGGAGCCAGCCACTGGCTCTGTCCATACCTACCTCTTAGCATGCCATTCCTTCTTCAGATCCCTGGACCTGGTTCTTCCCGACACCAAAGGCAGGGCCCCCTGCCTGCCCTTACCTCCCTTTCTGCATCCACTGAGGTATCTAGGCCCTGTCCTGCTGTCCTTCATGGGGCCTGGAGGAGAGACCTGAGGAGTCATCCCAGGCTGTGGAGGGAGTGCTTTCACTTCACAACAGGGCCACTGCACTGACCACATTAGCTGCCCCACCCTTATATGTGCCGGCCCTCCTCCACGTGTGCTGGCCCTCCACCATGTATGTTGTACCCCCACGTGTGCTGCCCCCCCCACATGTGCTGGCCTTCTCCACATGTGCTGACCTCCCCTGTGTGTGCTGATCCTTAGGCTGCCCTGCAAAACTGGCAGCGCCATTTCACCCCTACCTCTTTGCTCTTAGCTTCTGGGCTCCCACCAGGGCAACAGCCTGAACACCTGGGGCTCTGTTGAGACTGGGCCTTTAATTCTTGATCTGTTTGCTTCTCAGAAAGGGAGGTGCTTGGTCTCAGTCTTTGCCTCTGGTTCCCACCTGAGCCCAAGGCCCTTATCTCCAGTGTCAGAGCAGTCTCCAACCACAGGTGACACATAATAAAAACAGCAAGACCATGCCACATCCTACTGCTCTCACGTGACAATGTGGCATGCTCTCATACCTGGTTTGACTTTTTACATGACAATTAGAGAAGAAAATGAACCTGGAAAGACATCCCAACACCCAGATCACTGCAGGGACATGTGACAATTTGTTGAGGTCTTGGTCTTGCAATGTGATGGTCACTGACTAACAATTGTGAAATGGGCTGGGCTCAGTGGCTCAACCTGTAACCCCAGCACTTTGGGAGGCTGAGGCAAGTGGATTGCCTGAGCCTGCAGGTTCAAAACCAGCCCAGGCAACTTGGTGAGACCTCGCCTCTACAATAAAATTAAAAACTAGCCGGGCATGGTAACACGTACCTATAGTTCTGGCTACTTGGAAGACTGAGGTGGAAGGCTCACCGGAGCTCAGGAGGCTGACGCTGGGGTAGCCATGAGCATGCCACAGCATTCCAGCCTGGGCGATGGAGAGAGACTCCAACTCAAAAAACAAAAAAAGCAAAAAACAATTGTGAAATGCATTTGTTGTGGCTCTGAAGGTTGAGAACCTATTGTCAGGAGCACTGATCTCTTCTTAATGGTCTCTTAATCCCTCTTTTCCAGGGATACGTCGGGGCAGGGAAGATTTTGTACCATATTCCGCTCCTACTCTCGGGGTGCACAGGTAACGCAGCATCCTCTGAGCTAGGAGATCAAACTAACTTTGAATAACATTATGATCCTTAAGCAGCTATCCTCCCTAATGGATAATTGAAGGATAAAGTAACTAAGCTTATATATAAATTGATGCCAAAGTCTAAAATTGTGCTGTAGAGTGGTTGGTTGAAAGCCTTCTTCAGCATCAGGGATGTACATATGCATATATGCAACACTTGCTTAAATATGTGCACTGTGTATGTATAGGTATCTGTATATGTGAGTGCCTGAATATGAATATGTGTGCACAAACATATATATTCATGTGTGTGCATGTGTGCACATATGAACTGCATGTGCTGTGCACGTGTGTGTGTGTGTGGACTCTGTCCAGGTGAGTGGGCCTTGCTCCTCATGAGGTGATTCTTGCAGTGTCCCTGCAGTTTGTTCCTAGAGTAGCTCATAGATGTGAATTCTAGTCCCCAATTCACCTTGGCAGTTGAGGGTATATCAATGAAATGTCATTGGAAATAATCATAAAAATGCTACATTTGGCTGATAAATTAAAATTATATATTTAGTGTTAAAATAAGTAAAATGGTTATTTAATTGTCTTTGACTGAATTGCCCTCATGCCAGCCAGCGCATCCACAGTGATCATGTCTGCATGGCCCTAAGCGGTACCTGTGCCTGTGTTCTATATGTGAACCTTGTGACCTCTCCCCCAGGGTGTGATCCTAGTCTATGACATCGCAAACCGCTGGTCTTTTGATGGCATCGATCGATGGATTAAGGAGATTGATGAGGTATGATACAGTGATGTTGTTGCCCAAGTTCCCCATAGCTTGAGAGAACATTAGGTGAAAATTGGGGCCAGACCCACCAGGGCTCGTGGAAGCACATGGGCCAGGGCACAAGTCCGAGGCTTCAGCAACAAGAAATGTGCATAACCTCACAGCACTGCATTGGACTGGGCCCTTGATATAACCTAGAGAAACTCCAAAGCCCAGGAATGACCTCATCTTAACTAATTCCATCTGTAAAGACTGTATTTCCAAATAAGGTCCCATTCTAAGGTTCTGGGTGGATATGAATTTGGGGGACACACCATTCAACCCCACATGTTGCCAACAACAACAAAATTTCACACAAGTAACACATTTTCCTTACCTTTCTCTCACCCATTAGCATGCCCCTGGTGTCCCTAAAATCCTGGTGGGGAATCGCCTACATCTGGCATTCAAGCGGCAGGTGCCCACAGAGCAGGCCCAGGCCTACGCTGAGCGCCTGGGCGTGACCTTCTTTGAGGTCAGCCCTCTGTGTAATTTCAACATCACGGAGTCCTTCATGGAGCTGGCCAGGATCGTGCTGCTGCGGCATGGGATGGACCGGCTCTGGAAGCCAAGCAAGGGTAGGCCCAGATGCTGTCAAAGTGCTAGTTCTGCCCACCAGTCATGCAGGTAGTTCTGCAGCCCCTGCACAGTTGTCTGCTTCCCAGGCCCCGTCTCCAGGCCACTGTGTCCATTTTTCAAGAGTAAATGTTGTCATTGGAGAGAAATTATTACAGCTTTGTCAGAAAGCTCATGAGAGAAATTTCTGAAATCTGAACTTGAGCAGAGGTGAAGTCACAGCAGGGTTTGCTGCATTTATAAGTGACAGGCACAGGCATCCCCAGAGTCCTGGGAATAAGGGAGGATGGGTGTGGGCACTGCCCCCTCGTGGTTGGGACTGACATCAGCTAAGCGTGGTTTTGTTTTTTTTCCCCAAGTACTGAGTTTGCAAGACCTCTGCTGCCGCGCCGTAGTGTCCTGCACGCCCGTGCACCTGGTGGACAAACTCCCACTCCCCATTGCCTTAAGAAGCCACCTCAAGTCGTTCTCGATGGCCAATGGCCTGAACGCCAGGATGATGCACGGCCGCTCCTACTCTCTCACCACCAGCTCTACCCACAAGAGGAGCAGCCTCCGCAAAGTCAAGATCGCCCGCCCACCCCAGAGCCCACCCAAAAACTGCACCAGAAACAACTGCAAAATCTCATAGGGAAGGCATGGAATCTCTCCAGGAGAAGATGGAAGATGTACTCTAGATCGAAGAAAAACATTTGCAGTATCTCATGGTGACAGTGCTGCTTGGGAATACGTGTACCACCTTCCATGCAGTGAAAACACACTACATGCTTGACTTTGAATTTCTATGTGGATGTGCATGAAGTTCTTATTTTAGACATGTGTTTATAAAGGGAAAATTAGTACTCTGCTCAACTCCTGATAACATGAAATTCTGAATGTTACTTATGTCATGATTGCACTGAAACTTTTTCCTTAAAATAACTGCTTTTGTAAGAATGGTGATATGTGAGTGATGCATATAAATTCAAGCAATGACAGTAATTTACAGTCACCAATATTACAAGAGGGGCCTTTTTGTAAACCTCCTTTTTCATGTCAAAGCACCAATTTATAAACTGCTGCAGATGCATTTAGAGATTATGCACAACAGATCCGTCCCGTTTGTGTATGAAATGGATTTGATAAAGTTTTTGCTATGTTATTTACTACATTTTGGGATTAATAAGTGATTTATATGCATATTTTTCTGTAAATCTACTTTTTTTGTACAAGATGTTCTACAAGTCATGATGCTAAGGGAAGAAAATGCCAAAGATACCTCTAGTTATGTTGAATAGAGCCAACATGGTTTCAACAGATCAGCAAGGAGAAAGCCGTTTCAGTAAGGAAGTAAAAGCACTTATTTAAGAAAATTGTTTCTCAACAATAAAACGTATCCTTGTTTCTCTCTTGGTAGAGTTAACGGCTGGTTCTTTCTAATTCTGTATTTTTACAGCCCTTTTCTTCATTTGCATTTTTGTTTAGTAGAGACATCACATATGCTAATGCACAATGTTGACAACAGGCTGAACTCTTGAACTGAGTCACCTATCAAAAAAGATTGGCTGGGCTTGGTGTCTCAGCATGTAATCCCAGCACTTTGGTAGGCTGAGGTGAGTAGATTGCCTGAGTCCGCAGGTTCGAGACCAGCACAGGCAACTTGGCAAGACCTCAGATCTACAATAAACCAAAAAATTAGCCAGGTGTGGTAGCATGTACCTGTAGTTCTAGCTACTTGGAAGGCTGAGGAGGAAGGATTGCGGGAGGCCAGCAAGTCAACGCTGGGTTGGCTTTGAGTATGCCACTGCACTCCAGCCTGGGTGACAGAGTGAGACAGGAAGGAAGGAAGGAAGGAAGGGAGGGAGGAAGGAAGGAAGGAAGATTTCGCCAGGTATGGTGGCTCATGCCTGTAATCCCAGCACTCTGCGAGGTGGAGGTGGGAGGATTACCTGAGTTATGGGGTTTGAGACCAACCTGAGCAAAATGATGAAACTTCATCTCTACAATAAATCAAAAAATTCATGCCTGTGGTCCCAGCTACTTGGAAGGCTGAGACAGACGGATCACCTGAGCTCAGCAGGTCAAAGCTGTGGTGGCTGTGAGCATGCCACTGTACTCCACTAGCCTGGATGACAGAGTGAGACTCCAACTCAAAAGAAAAAAAAAAGAAGAAAAAGATTCCTTTTCCTGAAAAGAAATTTAGAGGAAGAGAGTGGGAAGTATTAAAAAGTGATATTCAAGCATGTGCCTGATAAACTTTGGAAAGGTGCTCTTGAAGCTTCCTGTTAAAACTCAGAGGTGTCACCAGCCATCCCACAAAAGATGAAATCCTTACTGCCAATCCACAGATGCCAGTCGCTTTCCTGATTGCCCTGTTTAATGTTTCTCTGTGGCAGCTGGAGAAACTAAAACCGAAAACTTGAAATGAAAAATGCCCAGATGTTCTCAGCTTCTGTTAATGATTTGTAGATCTTAGAAGTTTAAGGAACCCTAGAATCAGAAGTAATATTTTTATTCACAGTTGAGGCCCAGAGAAGAGAGAGGGGCTTCAGCCCAGGAGTTTGAGGCTCTGGTGAGCCATGGTCGTGTCTCTGCACTCCAGTCTGGGCAACAGAGTAAGACCCTGACTCATAAAATAATAATAACCCCATTAATTAATAAACAAGGCTAAACAAGTGTTTTGTCTTCCTTTCCATCTTTTTTTTTTTTTTTAACTGAAGTACTCCTCAGGACTACTATTAATGTTCTAGAAGGAATAAAATAAAGTTCCCCAAGTCTCTGACCCAGAGCCCCCAGGAGGGTCTGGTGTTTATGGGGCACATAGGTCACCCAGAGGCCTTGGCCTTCCAGGAAGGGTTCTCCCCAAGATTCTCCAGAAGGAACACAGTCCTGCCAATATATTGGTTTTGGACTTCTGGTTTCCAGAACTATGGGGAAAAAAAGTATCTGTTATTTTACTCCACCAAGTTTGTGGCAATTTAATATGGTAGCAAAAAAATAAAGTCATATTCACAGTAGAAAGTGCTATGGCAAAAAAAAAAATTTTAAATAAGAAATAAAAGGAAAAAAAGAAAGCGCTATGGCACATCACAGTGGCAATTCTGTGAAATAAAAACAATAAACCCTAATACAGAATGTATTAAACAGAAGTATGTGTGTTTGGGTAGAAAACATACACAAAATTTAATTGAACTGTAAATTAAGCCCTAGACAAACTTTGCCATTTTCTCAAACTTTGTCATTTTCTTCCAAGGCCCTTAATGCTACAAAATCTATCCAAAATTTAAACATGAGCACCATATTATGTCCCAGATGTTTGTGATTCTTTTTTCAGACATCGAGATTCAAAATATATTATGCACAATTATGTCTTCAATTGCTCTGTGAAAATTACTGCAATGCAGAATAATTTTCTAGACAGCTTGCAACTTGAATGAGGAATATTTAGGCAAAATATTGAATCTAGAAAAAATGTCAATTACAGGCTTGATAATATTTCTTTTTGACAAAGAGACAGAAATGCTGGGGCTTCCCTTTGCCGAAGAACAGCTTTGTCAATTTAAATGTGGATATTAGGCTGAGCACCATGGCTGGCTCTTGCCTATAATCCCAGCACTTTGGGAGGCCAAGGTGAGAGGATTGCCTCATCCCATGGGTTCAAGATCACCTGGAAAACTTGTCGAGACCTCATCTCTACAATAAATCAAAAAATTAGTCGGGTGTGGTGGCACATGCCTGTAGTTCCCACTACTTGGAAGGCCGAGGCAGAAGGATCACCTGAGCCCAGCAGGTTGAGGCTGTGGTGGCCGGAAGCGTGCACTGCCCTCCAGCCTAGGTGACAGAGTGAGACTCCAACTAAAAAACAAAAATGTGGGTTTTAGAAGCAAAATTTAAGCTGCTCATATTAGGGGAACTGAAATAAGGTTCTGTTCCACAAGGGAAGGCTAGAGGATAGGAGGGATGACACAATCGTTATGGGGGTGGTCTCACCTCCATCCCAGCTCAGAGGGTGGGGTGGTGAATGGTGTGGGGCTGGAAGGAGTAGGAGGTTCTTAGTCTACTTGTGCTGCCATAACAAAATACCTGAGTTAGGGGTAATATATAAATAATAGAAATTTATTTCTCACCATTCTAGAGCCTGGGAAGTCCAAGATCAAGGTGCTGGCATGCTTGGTGCCTGGTGAGGGCCTGATCTCTGCTTCTAAGATGGCACCTTGTTGCTGTGTCCTCATATGATGGGAACGGTGGAGGGCAAGAGGAAGGGAGGAGACAGCCCCCTCACACCTCTCTCATAAGGTCATCAGTCTCATTTGTGAGATCCCTACCCTTGTGACTTAATCACCTGCTCAAGGCCCCACCTCTCAATATTATCACTTTGGAGATTAAGTTTCAATATGTGAATTTTGGAGAGTTTCTGAATATCTTCAGATGATAACAGAGATCTTGTGCTCACATCCCACTTCTCCCCCCCCCCAAAAAAGTTTGACATAGTAGCACATGCCTGTAGTCCCCAGATACTTGGGAGGCTGAGGTGAGAGGATCACTTGTGCCCAGGAGTTTGAGGCTACAGTGAGCTATGATTGTGCTACCACACTCCAGCCTGGGTGACAGAGTAAGACACTGTCTCTAAAACAACCACAAAAAGGCAACCGTGCTTTACTCTGCATTTGAGGCTATCAGGAAGCAGGGGTGATTCTGAGATTTACTACCTAATTCTTATCGAGAAGGTGGGAAAATAGAGCAAGGGTAAAGCTGTCATTGCTAAGAAGTGACAGTCCCTCATCTGCACCAGGATAAGGGATGTTCAGTCATCTGGGTGACTTGGACACTGTTACCATCTGTGTTCAGATGGATCTTGCTTTTTGTCCTGCCCCATCAGTCACAGGAGTGGCCCTGTCTATGGAACTGTCCCATCCTGAAGGGGCCTGCCAAAGCCTTGCTGTGTGTGCCTGCAGCTCCCAGCACTCAGGGCTTCTGTGGTCTTTCTTGCTGCCCTCTGAGGTGGCAGAAAGACTGCCATATAAGGCCAAGAGTAAAATGTAGGCACATCGTGGTTTGGAAAATGCCTATCTGTGACCTGGTGGAAGCCAACCTACCTTTCTGCTGAAGGAAAGCAACTGTGTTGTCCAAAGCCAGTTACCATTATCTGCTGGTTTCTTGATTCCTTGTCCTGAAATCTCATCACTGCTCCGTGTTCCACTTTAATAGGGATCATGCATGGTGGCTTTGTTTTATGGTTCTCTAAACATTTTATTTGTGACATAATATAAAACAGAATTCAGATAGCATGTATATTTTAATGAATGATAATACCGTTATGAATACAAATACCTGTGTACTCACTACTTGGCAGTTTAAGAAGTAGAAATGGGACCAGGGTCGATGGCTCAGCCTGTAATCCCAGCACTTTGAGATGCCGAGGTGAGTAGATTGCCTGAGCCCATGAGTTCAAGACCAGCCTGGGCAACTTGGTGAACCCTCGTCTCTACCATAAATAATAATAAAAAATAAATTAGCTGGGCGTGGTAGCACACACCTGTAGTTCCCAGTACTTGGAAGGCTGAGACGGAAGGATCGCTGGAGCCCAGCAGGTCGATGCTGGGGTAGTTGTGAGCATGCCACTGACTCCAGCCTAAGCGATGGAGTGAGACTCCAACTTAAAAAAAAAGGCAGAAATGGGAAGTGGAAACTTTTGGTCTCCTGTGGCTGCTGTGTATTAGTCTTCTGTGGTTGCGATGACAAATCACAACTTGGTGGCCCAAAACAACAGAAGTGTATTCTGTCACAGTTCTGGAGGCAACAAGTTCAGTCACTGGGCTGAACTTAAAGTGTTACTCCCTCCAGAGGCTCTAGGGGAGGATCTTTTCTGCCTCTTCCAGCATCTGAGGGCTCCAGGTATTCCTTGGTTTTGTGGTCACATTGTTCTAGTCTACCTCCTTCTTCACGTGGAGTCTTTGTGTCTTCCTATGTCAATTCTTCCTCAGTCTCTTTTTTTTTTATTTTTTGACTTGAGGTCTCACTCTATCAACCCAGGTTGGAGTGCAGTGACATGATCACAGATCACTGCAGCTAGCTTCAACCTCCTGGGCCAAGGCCATCCTCCTGCCTCAACCTCCCAAGTAGCTGGGACTACAGGCACACGCCACCATGCTTGGCTAAATTTTCTTATTTTTTGTAGAGATGAGGTCTTGCTATGTTGCTCAGGCTAGTCTCAAACTTCTAGGCTCAAGCAATCCTCTCGCCTCAGCCTCCCAAGTGCTGGGATTATAGGCATGAGCCACTGCACCCAGATCCCCTGCCTTCTTATAAGGATACATGTAACAGCACTTGTGGCACATCTGGATCATCCAGAATATCTCCCCATCTCAGGATCTTTCATTTAATCACATTCCAGAGATCCTTTTTCCAAAATAAGG